AAATCTGCTGAAGTCGAACATTCAGTCAGTGTGCGCACGGACAGACAGACGGACGGACGGACAGACGGACGGACGAACAGACAGACGGAGAGACGGACAGACGGACGGACGGACAGACGGACAGACAGAGAGACAGACAGACAGACAGACGGACGGACAGACGGACAGACAGACGGACAGACAGAGAGGACGGACGGACGGACGGACGGACAGACGGACGGACGGACAGACGGACAGACGGATGGACAGACGAACAGACAGACAGACAGACAGACGGACAGACAGACAGAGAGACGGACAGACAGAGAGACAGACAGACAGACAGACCGTCGGGTATCAATTTCAGCCTGAAAAACCCATTCCCGAATTTATTTTCTAACAGACAAACATTTCACAATTATATAATTCATAGCAAAGACAACTTCTTTCATTGAATCACAAAAAAAGCAAAACAATATCCCGTGATCTGGAATCCGAACCCACTTCCCCCGAATCTGGAGACCGGCGCGCTAATTTTTGTACGCACAGACAGACGGACGGACGGTTTCACCCAAAACCTTTTAGCTAATGAAATCTCTGAGTCCCGAGAGCTGGCGCATATCCGTACTTCTTAGGTTTTGGTCAAGCTGCATCATATAGTTTAGTAAGTTTCAGAATTGAAGAATCAATTCAACGAAAACTCCGCTCGTAGAATCTAAATCGGATATCGAATTTAGATGGAATTAAATCGGATCGGAAATTAGGCCGCAAAATAGCACCAAAGATTTGAACAAAGATTTTGCCAATGATTTTTTTTAATCTGTCTTCGCACTAGGTGTTTCTATTTGCGCAGCTCACAACCTGCTTCCAGATTTCTCTATCTCTTGCTATTGATATCCAGTGTTTCCTATCTTGGTTGTTTCTGGTCCGGAGTCTTCGACTTGCTTGTGCTGGTGGTGATTGCACTCTAGCCATCCTTTCTCTTACCGTCTCTGCCACTCTTGTGCTCCACCTCGTTGCTGGTCTTTCGATGGGCCTCTTCTGGTCTCGTGGTAGCCACTCAGCGATCCATATCGTTCATCTGTCTTCTGTTCTTCTGGTCACTCTGGCCTTCTGGCCCTTCTGGCCCTTCTGGCCCTTCTGGCCCTACTGGCTCATCTGAGTCTTCTTCTCTCGATCACTTCCACTGGATCTGAGTCCCGAGAGAGCTGGCGCATATCCGTACTTCTTAGGTCTTGGTCGAGCTGCGTCATATAGTTTAGTAAGTTTCAGAATTGAAGAATCGATTCAACGAAAATTTCCGCTCGTAGAACCTAAATCGAATATCGAATTTAGATTAAGTTTCAATCGGATCGGAAATTAGGCCCCAAAAGTGTACTTGCATTAGCCAAACTTTGAAACACGAAATTTCTAAATAAGAGATTCAAAATCCAATTTTTCTATCTATCTCATTTTCATTGATCTTCATTGATTTTCGTTGATTTTCATTGCTGTTAGGTGTGAAACTTTTCCCTTTCTCTCACTCAAAATCGAATTGCACCATGTCATTGACATAGAAAACATAAAACATTCCATTGACACCACGTGACCGAAAACTTTTTCCTATTTTTGTGTGCAATCGCTGAGCAAATCACATCAGATTTTTGGGGAGATACGCTTGAAAACAAATAAATTAAACAGTAATAAAACAGTAATGAAACAGTAATAAAACAAAATAATCACTTGTGCTTGCAATTGAGATTCTATTAGCCAAGACACTTTTTCTTTTTGTCTCTTTTGATTATTCTTTGATTTTATTACATACTCATTTTTTTCAGGATGCATTCTTTTTACAACCAACTTGACGCGTATCAAGAAGAAGCGATCAACCAACGTAAAATAGTCACCAACTCGGCTCGCGGGGAAATACGGTAATCAGATACAAGACCGGGCCGCCTTTTGTACCATTTCTACTAGGTCAAAAGGTTGATGGTTAAACCAAGCCAGATCAAACTTTTACAACCAACTTGACGCGTATCAAGTCTTGAAGAAGCGTATCTAAAGTTGAAGGCGATCTAAGGCGATCTAAAGTCTTGAAGAAGCGATCTAAAGTCTTGAAGAAGCGATCTAAAGTCTTGAAGAAGCGATCTAAAGTTGAAGGCAAGGCGATCTAAGGCGATCTAAAGTTGAAGTGGATAAGCTAAAGTTGGGTAAGTGGGCCAGTTGATGCTGGAATGGCTGCTCGTCTCTCAATTGATGTTGTTGATCGACCGAATCTAGTCAAAGGTGAAACTGAAAGTTCTTTTTTTATTGCAAAGTTTGATCGCTCTGGAAAGCTCCAATTCACTCAGGCACTTTTTCTACGTATCAAAAACCATCGTTGATTTAGATCCGAGTTGATTGTCGATAAAAGTTGCATAAAACGTTTAGATAACCATTTTCGGAAAGAAAAAAAGAAAAAAAAGAAAAAAAAGAGAAAAAAGCATCGAGTTCAAGGGCATTTCAAAAATAAAAAAAAAACGAGATTTCGGTGTTGATTTTGAAGCGTTTTAAAATCAGAGCAATTTCTTTAAGACAAAGAAAGAAAGCTAGTAGAAAGATAGCTAGTAGAAAGAAAGCTAGTAGAAAGATAGCTAAGGTTATTGCTTGAATTGCTTGAAATTTTGAGTTAAAAATTGAAATGGAAAGCTCAAATGATGGCTGGAAAGCTATCAAATGAAATTGTTAGCATTTTTTGATCATTTCTCTAAATTACTCTAAATAAAAAGTGTTTAAAGTTCAATTTTCTTCTAAAAAAAGTGTTTATCGTTCAATTCTCATCTTTTTAAGTCAAATTTGGGTTTACTTTTAAGCAAAAATTCGCGAGTGAAAACGTGTTTTTCGTAAAAATTTATAAAAACGTTTACAAAGAAATTGGTTGAATGAATTTCTCTGAAAATTTGGTTATATATCAAACTTTTTATGCTCTACCTTTTACCTATAGACACGAAAATAGATTTCCTTAGCTAAAGTGTCTAAACCACATCATCGAGCCGTTCTTTTTGACCACCTGACTTCACGCTTCCAAAAAAATCCATACATAAGGCGCTTTAAACCTGTTTTAATGTTATTTAGCAGAAAAATAATTGACTTTTCTAAGGAAAGAAACCTTAGTTCAATTGGTGAATTTCAAATCATTGAATGACCAGCTGTGGTGGCATTAAAGTCTTCACATAATATTCGAAACCAAATGGTTCATAAATGGCTCATAAATGGCTCATAACTCTTTTATTTGGTTTATTTACATTCTATCGTCTAATAATAGATTTATAACGCCAGAAATAACGTTCATTTTCAAATCATTGAATGAAAGCATAGTGTCTAATCTTGTAATTCTTATTAGGCCGTCCAGAAAGTGTTCTTTTTATACTTTCGCTGAAAAATCACATAACTACCAATTAACCTATCGTTTTCTCTAAATAAAAAGTGTTTAAAGTTCAATTTTCTTCTAAAAAAAGTGTTTATCGTTCAATTCTCATCTTTTTAAGGCAAATTTCGGTTTACTTTTAAGCAAAAATTCGCGAGTGAAAACGTGTTTTTCGTAAAAATTTATAAAAAACGTTTACAAAGAAATTGGTTGAATGAATTTCTCTGAAAATTTGGTTATCTATCAAACTTTTTATGCTCTATCTTTTACCTATAGACACGAAAATAGATTTCCTTAGCGAAAATCTTTAAACCGCACCATCCAGCCGTTCTTTTTGACCACCTGACTTCGCGCTTCCAAAAAAATCCATACATAAGGCGCTTTAAACCTGTTTTAATGTTAGTTTGCACAAAAAAAAAATATCTATAAACGCCTATCTATAAATAAAAAGTGTTTAAAGTTCAATTTTCTTCTAAAAAAAAGTGTTTCTGGTTTAATTTCTCATCTTTTTAAGTCAATTTCGGCTCACTTTCAAGCAAAAATTCGAGTGAAAACGTGTTTTTCGTGAAAATTTATGCGTCTACAAAGATACAAAGATGCAAAAAACGATATTCCCGACGATATTTTTTGTCTCATGGATAAATAGCACTTTCGCCCAATCACGTGTCGTCCAACTTCGGTAGGTCCGTTAGGCTACGTGAAATCTGAGCTCGATTTCTCAAAGTATGACTGAGAAACAGCTGAAAAACTGTTGTGTTTGGATGTTCTTCGAGTGGTGGCGTAATCGCTCGCCGTCTGGCACAGGGCTTTTACGTAAGAGAATCCCTTTTGTTTTCGCTTCAGCAATCTGTTCCGGTTGAGGTTACGCTGGCCGTATGAAAGAGAGATCAAATCTGTTGTGTACCATGTCGCCGCTCATTTGGCGGCACTGGGAGCACTGGCCTTTTTGATCTCTGTTTGGATTCAAGCTCTAAATCTGTCGGCTTTCCAATCTCATCCGGTAATCTTATGGTTACAGTAGTTTTTCTAAAATAGATGCCTTTTAGAAAGTTGATTATAATAGAGAAACTTGGCTAGTTAAAATTGAAATATTTAAGTGCTTAAGTTAAGATTTAAGCTTTTATTTAAGCTTTTATTGATTCATTAACAAAAGCTATAATATTCAGTTCTGCTTTGCTTTTTTTCCCATTGATTCATTAACAAAAGCTATAATTTATTGGTTAAAAACAAAACGAATCGTTGCAATGAAAATGAACGTTGCAATGAACGTTACAATGAACGTTGTAATGAACGTTGTAATAAACGTTACAATGAACGTTACAATGAACGTTACAATGAACGTTGTAATGAACGTTACAATGAACGTTACAATGAACGTTGCAATGAACGTTGTAATGAACGTTGCAATGAACGTTACAATGAACGTTGCAATGAACGTTACAATGAACGTTACAATGAACGTTGTAATGAACGTTACAATGAACGTTGCAATGAACGTTGCAATGAACGTTACAATGAACGTTGCAATGAACGTTGCAATGAACGTTGCAATGAACGTTGCAATGAACGTTACAATGAACGTTACAATGAAAAGCTAAAAATTTGAATCAGGAAAAAAATTGGTTTCTTTTGTTTAAAGATAAGAGACTCTCGACACGCGAACGATTCGCACTTGATTCGGATCATCGAATGGATCGTATCTGGAAGATTAAAGATCAGTTTTACTCTAAATCATTTTCTAAAAGGTGTTTTTAAACGATGTTCTGAATTTGGTCAAATCTTTTAAAGATATTCAGTTCAAAACTCACGATGGTGGTCCACCGTAGGCCATATTGTAAGGAACAATCATACCGGGTGAGCAAATTTGTGGCTCCATTACACGCGGTGGTGGCATGTAAGCGGAGCCGGGAGGCACTGAAATAGCTGATCTTTGCGGTAATTCTAAAAAGTCTACTAACAAGTCTACTAACATTCTAAAAAGTAATAATCTACTAAAAGTAAGTAATAAATAAAGCTTACAATAAGCTTAAAACTATAGCTCGGACTTATGGCCTCCTGAATTGATTGGCCTTTTTGTATTGAGCCTGGTTTGAAACAATCAGTTTTATTCTCATCTTTATTCTCATTTTGATTTAATCAATCATTTTTTACTTGTTTGAATCAAGTTTAATCAATCAATCAATCAATTGAGATCAATTAGACTCAATGATCAGCTCAATTGATTGATTGGACTCAATGATCAGCTCAATCGGGATCAATTGGACTCAATGATCAGCTCAATTGAGATCAATTGGATTCAATGATCAGCTTAATTGATTGATTGGATTCAATGATCAGCTTAATTGATTGATTGGATTCAATGATCAGCTCAATTGAGATCAATTGGATTCAATGATCAGCTCAATTGATTGATTGGATGAATGATCAGCTCAATCGGGATCAATTGGACTCAATGATCAGCTCAATTGATTGATTGGACTCAATGATCAGCTTAATTGATTGATTGGACTCAATGACCAGCTCAATTGAGCAATTGAACTTAATGATCAGCTCAATTGATTGATTGGATTCAATGATCAGCTCAATTGAGATCAGTTAATTGATTGATTGATCGGTTGATTGATTGATTCATTGATTCATTGATTCATTCATTCATTCATTCATTCATTCATTCATTCATTCATTCATTCATTCATTCATTCATTGATCATTCAGCTCAATTAACCAATTTGCGATCGAGTCAATCAATTGAGAAGATTTCCGGAAAAAACTATTCGATCTTTTTTGATAATTTAATGAGTTTAATGAGTTTCAAAACCCTAACATTAAGTTTTCATTCTAGGCTCATTTTTTGACTGTACTTGACTCACTTTTGCTTGTTTGCGGATCATTGTAAACTTGATCGTTCCCTTTGCAGCAGCAACAACAGCAGGATGTCACGCACTCGCAAACGCCGCACAGACAACACAACTGGAAATGGATTTTAATGCAAAACTTCTATTGAAAATATTGCTGAACATATTGAACATATTGCCTAAAACAGATTGGGTCAATTAGTTAATCCTTTTCCAATTCATATTCAATAATTTTGAAACATTCATTTTCTTTTGCTTATCATCTTTTGCTTATGCATCTTTTTCTTGTTATCTTGTTCAAATTTCAAATTCTTTTATTTTAAAATAAACTTTTACAAACTTTTCCACAAAAAAACCAATGAAGAATAAGGAATTTCACAGCAGAAACGTAAAAATAGGAAAAAAACTGAAAGAAAATTGGAGGCACACTTGTGACTTTTGGTTGAGCGAAGGATTAGAGTTGGAGGTGAAAAAAGACTAGAATGAGCTAGGATTAGAGTTGAAAAAAGACTAGAATGAGCTAGAATTTCTATTGAAATTGAATTCTAATAGAAAAAGGTTCACTGATAATCACTGATCACTGATAAAAAGTCGTTTAAAGCTAGATTCTTAGAGTGCGGCACACAGAAACATGAAGCAGCAACCCACACAGCCGACGATGAAAATCGCGGTGAGGAAAGCGCCCAACACATGCCAAAGCCAACGACGCCAACCTGGAAAATATTGACCTTGTTTTTGAAGCATTTATTAGGTAGATGCATAAGAAATGCGGATTTCAACATTTTCCTAAATTCCAACGATAGAAACCCTGATATCGATGAATGTTATAAACTATTAAGTAGCCGTTCTTAGCTTAGCTTAGCTTCCCAAGATGGCTTAGCTTAGCTTAGCTTCCCAAGATGGCTTAGCTTAGCTAGCTTAGCTTCCCAAGATGGCTTAGCTTAGCTAGCTTAGCTTCCCAAGATGGCTTAGCTTAGCTTAGCTTCCCAAACTTGAAGATTTCAAAAAAATGGATAACTATATATCAAAAAATGGATAAAGTTGTAAATCTCCTCTACAAAATAGGCTAAAACGTGTTTGAATTGATTGAAGAAATTGAAGAAATTGAAGAAATTTCGAGGGCGAAATGCGAGTGACCAAAAAAAAGGAATCGAGTCACTTTAGGGACAAGTTTAGTGTGGTCAAAATAGAGTTAGCTTGTCAAAATTGAAGATTTAAAAGAAAAAGGATAATTATATATATCATTTCTATATCAATTCATTAAAAAAGTCTAACGGAAATGCATTTACAGAAATTTAGATAGTTCAAAAGTTCAAAACCCTCAAAATTGCCAAAAACCGGCCTTTTTCACAAAAAAGAAAAATTATTGTAAAGCAAAGTTTTCCCATGAAATGATCCCAACTCTTCATTATTTTGAATGATATTTTCAATGATTTGGCGCTCATTTTCCATTATATAGTCAAAACCGAACGCTTGTCAAAGTGGAGTTTTCAAAAAGTGCCATTTTTTGGTCACTCGCATTTCGCCCTCGAAATTTCTTCAATTTCTTCAATTTCTTCAATCAATTCAAACACGTTTTAGCCTATTTTGTAGAGGAGATTTACAACTTTCAAATAGTTTATAACATTCATCGATATCAGGGTTTCTATCGTTGGAAATAAATGTTGAAATGTTGAAATGTTGAATGTTGAACATGCATTTCTTATGCATGTACCTAACCCAAATAGAGTGCGAGGCACTAGCCGCTAGCCTCCGCACCAAGTTCAAGCCTGACTAAGATACAGAGCTCTTAGCTAGCCGGCCATTTCTCTTTATTTTGTTCCTACAAGAGCACAGTGCAGGCTTGGCAGCTGCTAATATTAAAAAGATATAAGAAAAAGATATCTTTTTTGTTTAAATCTTCAATTTTGGGAAGCTAACTCTATTTTGAGCACACTAAACTTGTCCCCAGAGTGACTCGATTCCTTTTTTGGTTACTCGCATTTCACCCACGAAATTTCTTCAATCGTTCGATCAATTGAAACACTTTTTAGCCTATTTTGTAGAGGAGATTTACAACTTTCAAATAGTTTATAACATTATAACATATAAAATTCATCGATATCAGGTTTGTTTCTATCGTTGGAAATTTATGAAAATGTTGAAATCCGAATTTCTTCGCATATGCCTAATACATATCAAAATACAGTACTTTAGTAGAAGTTTAAATGCAGAAATGCAGAAATTTAATGCTTTTTTTGTGCTCTATTGACATAAAGATAGATTTCTAAAGAGATTTGACATAACTAAAGTGTCTAGAATCAACAAGCCGTCCTCCTTTTTCGATTTAGGTATCTTCTAAAAAACTTTACAACTTTGCAACTTTGCAAAAAAGCAATTTGTGATTTTATCGAGTTTTTTTAATTAGTAAACCACATTAACACATTTAGCACTACCATGAAAATGTTTAAGTTTCAAAATTGGGTAGATGGATTAAGGCGAGGTTGGGTTAATGACGTTCTGTACTCACCGTGATAATAATCATCATCATCATTATCAGTATCATTGTTTTTGTGTCGATTCTCATAATTTTGTCCCCAATTTCCCCAAATCCACGTCCAGAATGAGGAGGCGTTTCCGTTGGATCCATCTTAAAATTCTCTATTAAAAATCTCCCAAATCTTTAATCACCGAAATCATAAAAATAATCATTGCTTCCATTGTTTCCAAAAATAACGTAGGTCGCATTGTAAACAATATCGGATCCATTTGATGGATTTGTGTTATTGGATGCATTTTGATATTGATAAACAGTGGTTGTTGTTTTCCACGAGGAAACAGTGGTTGCGTTTGTGGAAGCGGCTGATTTTTGTGGAGTAGTGGGAATGGCTTTGTTGGACAGAGTCGTATTCTCGGTTGGTGATGGTTTACCTGAAAATTTCGGGCTCATTTGGTTCCTATTTGTAGTTCCTTTATAGTTCCTTTATAGTTCTTTTATAGTTCCTATTTAGTCAGCAATTGTTTCCTGTTTGCTGCTGATCTTTAAATTTGATTTTAAAATGCTACAATACTTGAGTAAATCATTTTAAAGATAGAAAATGTTTTGAATTGAATGAGTTGAATGAGTTGAATGAGTTGAATGAATTGAATGAATTGAATTGGAATTGAATTGAGATTTTTATTTTTTAGCTTTTTTAGAAATCAACTCTTCATTTGGAGCTTTGGATGGCTCTGGACACTGACGGCAATCTACAGCAAAAAATGAGTCTCCAATTCGTAGAATACTCAGTCTTTCTGCTTAGATACTGTATATTTTGTGAAAGAAAGATTACCAGTGTAATTGCCGGCCGGTGGAGATGGTTTTTGCGGTGGAATTCATGAAAACCGAAGGCGATCCTGTTGGGGGAGGGCCTGGAAAAGGAGAGAGTTTCACAGAAATTCGAATTACTTTATTTGAATGCTTAAAGAATATTCTAAGAATTGCAGACTCAATTTTGCTGTAAATTGCTGTAAATTTGGTGCCCAGAGCCATCCAAATCGAGAGTTGATTTTAAAAAAACTGAGTTTCAATATTGACTACTCGTTCAATTTCAAGTTTCAGTTTAAAAAGATCCATTTTTTTGGGTGGAATACTTCAATCTAAAGGATCTAAAACTAATGTATCTAAAGAATTCAGCTAGGGAGAATGGAACAATTGAAATTTGAGAATATTTTAAGTTTAAAATTGCATCCCAGCACTTTCAGCTTTAAAATATTTTTGAGCTTTTTAAACTGAACTGAGTTTTAAATTGAACAAGTAGTTTAAGTTGAAACTTAGTTTTTAAAATCAACTCTTTATTTGGATCTTTGGATCTTTGGATGGCTCTGGAAACCCACGACAATCTACAGCAATCTACAGCAAAAATTGAGTCTACAATTCTTAGAATACTCAGTCTTTCTGTTTAGATACTGTCTATTTTGTGAAAGAAAGATTACCAGTGTAATTGCCGGGTGGTGGAGATGGTTTTGCGGTGGAATTCATGAAAACTGTAGGCGATCCTGTTGGAGGAGGGCCTGGAAAAGGAGAGAGTTTCACAGAAATTTTAATGCTTTCAGGAAAACTTCAAGTTTCGATTTAAAACGATCACTTTTTTTTGGGTGGAGTACTTCAATCATTATGTATCTAAAGGATTCAGCTAAGGAGAATTGAACAATTGAACTTTGAGATCATTTTAATTTTAAAATAGCATACCAGCACTTTCAGCTGTGATACTGCATAGAGTTTAAACCTATAAGAGTTTTAACCTACCGTAAACACTGTAATAGTACCCCACCCCCATAATGACGGTGCGGAGCGTTGCGTAGTCTAGCTTTGGACGCGTTTTTCTCGACACTGGTTTATGCTACAATGCGCGCTTAGGTATCAAAAAATAGCTGAAATTCAGGGCTATTTTTTGATACCAAAGACGCATTTTTTGAAAGTACGGATGCTTTGCAAAAAATGAAATACTAAAAAACTTTTGCGACTACGCGACTGTACGAGGGGGTGGGGACTATTACAGTATTTATGGTATAAGAATTTTAACCTATAAGAGTTTTAACCTATAAGAACTCTAACCTATAAGAGTTTTAACATATAAGAGATATAACTTTTAACTTTAAACTAACTAACTAACGATGGATAACTTTTAAATTTTAACTACGTTTCAAGGCAAAACAAATGGCATCACATTGTTTAAATTCATTGTTGAAATTCGGAATTTTCTCTAAGTCGATGTAGAATTTACCTGTATAATTGCTCTTGTTCGGTGATGGTGGAATGTCAGTGGCATTCCAAGATGGTGGAATCGTTGGTGGAGGACCGGTGTAGTTGTTGTACGGGAGGGAGACATTCTTGGTGATTAGTGGAGCGGTTGTTGTGATGATGGTGGTGTTTTTTGAGGGAACAGTTGGTGATGTGATCGCTGAAAAAGCATCAGCTTATGGCTCAGGCTCAGGCTCAGGCTTATAGCCATGGCTTTAAGCTTTAATCAACTTTAATAGTCTAATAAAGAGCCTTTTGTCTTGGTCGGGAGTTCAATCCCACTATTAGACTATTAGTTCTTTTTTTCCAAATCTATGAGGCTTATGGTTTCGGTAAAATTAAGCAATGATTACAGCAAAGCCAAGCAACCTTTAATGGCTCTAAAGTTTGATTTGACGTTTCTAAAGCGTTTCTAACGACGAGACGTTTCTAAAGTTCGATTGTCAGCTCCAGATCTAGTGCTTGATCTATTGGGTTGTCTAGTTATGAATTCGCGTTTTTACTATTTTGTAAATTTCCCAAGATATCGAACAGATGTAGATGAGTGTTATATATCATTCGAAAGCTGAAGATCTCCTCTACATTTTGATATAAAAAGCTTTGGAATTTGTGCAGCTTTTGGGCAAATTGACTGCACAAAGGGAGAGGTCGTTTTCCAAAAAACTTAGCCATCCCAGCTTAGCTATTCCCGAAGCCACCCCAGCCATCCCAGCCATCTCAGCTTAGCTATTCCTCAAGCCATCCCAGCCATCCCAGCCATCTCAGCTTAGCTATTCCCGAAGCCATCCCAGCCATCCCAGCCATCTCAGCTTAGCTATTCCCGAAGCCATCCCAGCCATCCCAGCCATCCCAGCTTAGCTATTCCTCAAGTTTTATGGTGTAAAATAACCGCTCAGAAAAGAAAAGAAAAGTAAAGATGCTCTGAAATTGTGATATTTAAAAAAAAGTTATATTGATCTATCTATTGGCCAAACATCAAACGGTTAACTCAATTTGAGCGGAGCCAAAACTTGATCCAAAGGCACTGTGCAGAAAAGTGGCTCTTTTCTGTGAAATCTTATTTAATGTTTTGATTTGAATGTCTAATTTTCTTGTCCCGCCTCTAAAAGATCGCTTTTTTGATAAAGGGACGGATAAAAGGGAGGGAGCTCACTTTATATTGTTTTTCCGTACATTCTCTTTTTCGTATTGCTATGAAACACTGAACCAACGATTGATTCTATTCTTTTGTATTTTCTCGCTAGATTAGTATTGTGCTAGATTCGGAATAAATATCTAATAATCATTGCCCCCAGCGGTATTCTCTCACACACTGCACAGGCACCCTTCCATTTTTTTTTGGTCACCTCGTCTTCTGTGCAGTCAATTTGCCCAAAAGCGCGACAAATTCGCAAAACTTTTTATATCAAAATGTAGAGGAGATCTTCAGCTTTCGAATAATACTCATATACATCTTTTTCTTGATTTCGGTATCTTGAGAAATTTAAGAGAAGTAAAAAACCGACATTCATAACTGGACAACCCAATACAAAACCAGGAAAAACCAGTAGTCAAGTAGTCTGGCTCAGCTTACTACCAGAAGTAGAAGCTCAGCTTACTTGCCCTGATCTCATCTTGCTGTCAACTAGCTTATTGCTTTTATTAGGTTGTGTCTAGTTCGTAGAAGTTCGTAGATCTGGATCTGGCTTCTGACAAGGCTCTGGCTTCCAATAAAATGCTATCAATCGATTTTTAGAAAAATCGTTAACACTAAACAATCACCAAACAATCACCAAACAAAACTCAAACTCACTTCCCAATAAATATCCACAAAATAAGAATCTCAGCGAGTATTCACCCATTTTAAAGGCTTAAAGGCTAAATTTGAAGAATGACTATTGAAATGTGAAATTCGAGGAACCACAAAAAAAATGTGGGCGTTTCAAAAAGACTAAAGTTTAATCACAATGCAATAGAAAACTTTGTGGACGTTAGAATTTGAAATTTGAAAGAAATTTCAAGTTTTTCGCCGGTTTTTGCCTTTTTTTCTGTTGCTAGGTGTTCATTTTAAAGAAAGAAAAGAATATTCGAAAATATTTTTTCAGTTTTCAGCTTTTTTTGGAGGGAAAATGGACAATAACCATGGATTTTGCTTGGTCACCGTTTTGGGACAAAAAAAGAAAGAAAAAGTTTGTTTCAACCCGTTTTTTTTTTGAATACTTGATCATTTTGAAGGTTGATGAGGTAATTTTTCACAATTTTATGTAAAAATGGATGAGAGATGATGCAAAAAAGAAGTGGAAATCTGTTAAAGTGACAAAATATGAAAAAGCTTGAAAGTTTGAAGATTAAAGCTTGAACCTTGAAAGCTTTAAGATTAAAGCTTGAAGGTTGAAGCTTGCTTGAGCTAACTTGAAACTCACACTTTTGAGTTTTGTTTGAGTCACACAAATTTTGAATTCTTTTAATCCTTACTGCCATGATGACCAGTGAAGAAATCAGCACGCCGGCGATCCAAATCGGCCAACCAATCTCTAAAAAGACGATTTGATTGATTTTTGATTGATTTTTGATTGGTTTCGATTGATTTTTGATTGGTTTTGATTGATTTTGATTGATTTTGATTGATTTTTGATTAGTTAGGTTGTAAATCTGTCTGTAATTCTGTCTGTAATTCTGTCGGTAAATCTGTCGGTAAATCTGTCTGTAATTCTGTCTGTAATTCTGTCTGTAATTCTGTCTGTAATTCTGTCGGTAAATCTGTCGGTAAATCTGTCTGTAAATCTGTCTGTAAATCTGTGAATTCGTCTGTAAATCTGTAAATTTGTGTGTTTCAACCTAGTCAACTCTGTTCACACATGACCAAGTCTAGAGTGTGTTTCTCTCGACTAATGCGTTTTCGAAAATGCACCTATTTGAGAAAAGTACCGTTAGTTAGTTAGTCAAATCGTTAGTTTCATCAGATCAATCGAATTTTTAAATCATTGACTGAGCCTTGTGAATGAGAATGAAAATCAAATCAGCAAATGATACCAAAATTGAGTTGATCGGATGTAAATCGGCCGTTTGACTACGGTGGTTTCTCAAATAGTTTGACTACGGTGGTTTTCTCAAATTAGAAAACACGTTAGTCGAAAAGAACACACTCTAACCAAGACTTTGACTGTCTTTTTTTCACTAACTTGATCCAAGCGATGCGAGAGTCGATTGTCCGGCTAAAAAATAAAATTCAAGAAGATTTTGCAAAAAACGGAAAAACCTGTAGTCGATGGGCCGGTGTAGGGAAGTGTTGAGGCTGAATTTGAAATAAACTCCAATTCTAATGGTATTAAAGTTTAAAGTGTTAAGTTTATAAGAGGAAAACTTGTAAAGTCTCAAAAATTTCACCCTCAGTTGTTGAAGATCCAGTGTAGGGGGTTGTTGAGGCTGAATTGTTCATCAGTGATTAGATTTCAATTGTTCATCATTGTTCATTTCATTGTTCATTTCATTTTTAGATTTCATTCTTCATGAGTGATTAGATTTCAATAATTCAAGAATTAGTTCATCCATTTGAAGCTTACTTCTTTCATTCATTTCCCTAAACTGCCTAAATGGGGAACTTTTCACCGACAGCCATCAGCTACTATCATGGCCAACTGGCTAAGAGCCCTGTATCTGAGTCAATCAAAGGTCAAAGGAGGTCAAAGGAGGTTCAATCCCGCTGGCTAGATTTTTGTACCAGGTCCTTTCCTTTAGGCAAAATTCTAGTTTTTCAATGGATAAAATAATCATAGTTTTGGCAATCAAAGTCTAAAAGTAACTCATGAAGTAGCTTAAAAGCAAAGCAAGGCAAAGCCATTTGTTCGTTTAAAGCCCAAAAACGTCATTAAAGTGCTTAAAAATGTTTCCAAACTCACATGCAGTAGTGCTCGAGCCAGTGTACGGCGTTGTAGAGGCTAAATACATATTTTCAGATATAGAAATGGATTTTAAGATCTATTCGAAAATTATCGAATTATTTACTGTAAACAAGAAAAAAATTAAAAACTCTTTAATCTAAAGCTTTTGTAAACTTTGTGTTTCAAAGTTTTACAATTTCCCAAACTGTTGCCGAGCTTTACGTTGCTGATTTCTCAAAACTCACATCCAGTTGTCGTGGAATCTAAAGGGGAATTTTTCAATTGAGTTGTAAATTTTTGAAACCTGTGCTCGTTGATGGGCCAGTGTACGAAGTGGTGGTGACCGTCGCTGAAAAATGCTTTGTTTCAAAAAAGAGCGGAACGAACAAAGCTGGAACTCGTAATAAAAAAAATAGTAACATAGGTACTTTTAACTATTTTGCACGACATGCGAAATTTGCATTTAAGAAGCCAAAGTTTGAATGGACAGAGCAATAGTGAATCGATGGTGAAATGGAATATGATTACAAAAGGTGAAGAATCAATGGACTGAGTCAAACAGCCACATGGTAAATGTGATTGTTTCCGTACCAAAAACAAGTATTCCGTTGAGTATTTCATTTGATCGTCGACATTGAACATTGAAAAACTTTCTTGACATTGAAAAGCTTGTGATTGGTTTGAAATTGAATTTGAAAACGGTTAAAGTAGTATCAATTGATCATCGTAAAATACTTAAATAGAGTAATTTCTCTAATAGTAGTGCACCAAGAGCGTTGCCTAAATTCCTCGAAATCTCGAGAACCGCTTATCAGAACCTATCGATGTGGGGTCGGAAAATGTAGCTGACGGGGAGATCTTGTGGGGGATTTGAGTGTTGAGCTTCTGCAAAAGCTTGGAAGCAGTAAATTAGTCATCAACTCGGCTCGGCTCACTACTATGAGAGGGAATACGGTAAATGAAAAGCGAATAAAAAATACGGCTTATGGCGTGCAAAATAGTCAAAGGTATCATAAAATATGATTTTCTTTCATCAAAAATCTACTGTTTTTCGTTTCTTTTCAAATTTCACTCACTTCCCGTTGTCGTTGATCCAGTGAAAGAAGTCGTGGAGACGGTGGCGGAAATTTCGTGTGTTTCAAAGTGAATAAACTTAAATAAGAAGGATTTTGGTTAATTGATGATTCAATTTTAAACCAAGTGGTCGAAAACGGTGGCGAAATTTTCGTGTTTCAAAAAATGGCTTAAATCAAAACGAGCGCCGATTTCTATTTAAAAAAAAAATTTTGTTTTAACTTTCCACTCTTCCGATCGTTAATAACATGAAATCTTATTATTGGCCTGGATTTTGGCCTATATATTGGCCTTAATAAAGTCTTATCTCTTTGTAAAACACTAAATTAGTCATTTAAAATGAAACCAATCATCAAAGTCAATCACTCACAAGCAGTTGTCGACGAGCCCGTGTAGCTCGTAGTGCTGACGGTGGCTTAAATTATTGATGTTTCAAAGCGTTCAGATACAGGTATTAAAAAGTGACCATAATTCATTTGACTATTTTGAAAAACTTGAAGTTGGATACCGCCTGGAGGCTGCACAAAATTCATTCAGCATTGAAATTTTCTTGAATTATTCCTTGAAAACGACCAAAGCTTGCTTGATCAAAGCTTGATCACTAAAAATCTCTTTCTTTCACCTTGATCAAATCAGATCAAAGAAATCTTTTTTTACACTAAATAAAACGCGAGCAATGAATCTATTTATCAATCTTTTCTAAAACTTGTCCCCTTTCTCTTTCTCTTTCTCTTTCTCTTTCTTAATCTTGTCTCAATTTTTATCCAATCTATCTACTTTTCGTGTAGTTTGTGAGGGTTTATAAAGAATATCGAAAGATTAAAAAAAAGTGAATATCTTAGGTCCGATTTTGAGACATTTCACCTTCAAAACCTCTTTTTACCTAGAAAAAAAAGTCGTTGAACAAAGAATTTGATTAAATTTCTTGACCAAATCAAACACAATTCTAGTTTTGTTTAGCACTTTATCTTATCTTAACGAAGTATCTTAACGAAAGGTTTATCTTAGCACTATCGAAAAACTATCGGAATTTCGCGCTTTTTATTTATTAGGGGTTTGCAAAAGAAACTGCGTATTATACGCAACGTTCAAACACCTCGAAAATTAATAATAAAAGACTTTATTCCAAAAGGTACTCGCCAAAATTATCAACTATATTTTTCCATTTTTTACGTAGACTTCGGATGCCTGATTCGAAAGATTCCGGACCTTGTGACGCGAAATAGTCTTGCACCCAAATTTCGACTTCTTGGTAATTGTTAAACTGTTGATTTGCAAGGGAGTGTTGCATAGATCGGAACAAGTGGTAATCTGAGGGAGCGATATCAGGGGAATATGGCGGATGAGGCAGAAGATTCCAGCCTAATTCTTCTATCGTGTTTTGAGCCAAATTCGACGTATGTACCCGGGCGTTGTCAGCAAGCAAATTGATTGTCTTTGGATTAACGCCTCTTTCTCTTAGAATTTCATCAACTTTCTTCAGCTGCTCGGCGTAGATTTGAGAAGTTATAGTTTTTGAGGATTTTTGTAATTCAAAGTAGACGATTCCTTTCATATTCCAAAAGACCGACAGCATAACTTTCTTGCCGTGAAGATCTGGACGTGGTGTCGGAACTGGAGTTTCTCCTTTGCTCAGCCATTGTCTTTTGCGAGTTGTATTATTGAAATATATCCACTTTTCGTCCATTGTCAAGATGTTTTCAAAAAAAGCGCTGCCCGTGGCCTTTCTCAATAAAATCCGAGACATTAAAACACGGTTCGATTTGTTTTCTGGGGATAATTCGTGCGGGACCCACTGGCCACAACGATTTTTTTTTCGAATAAGCAAAAGGTGTCGGGAAATTGTGCTCTTATCGCATTTAAAGCATTCGGCTAATTCGGGCAAAGTTTGAGTTGGATCCAACTCG